GTATAAAAAAAAAAAAGTCAATGACTAGGTGCTGCTGTCTAATAGCAAAGCTGTATTTCAGATATTGTGTCAAGAGGAATTGCTAAGTTATTATTTCACATTATTTTTATGAATTTATTTTCAGGTGTGAGATTAGTAAAGTCAGGTATAATCTTTTCAGCTTCATTGTATAAAACGACCCTCTCTTTACTGTATACTGGGCATATTATGAGGAAGTGATGTTCATCTTCAATATCATTTTTATTACACAATTTGCAGATTCTGTCGCTACTTTTGATTCTGTTGTGTCTTCCTTTTTCAATTTCTAAACTGTGATTGCTCAGTCTGAATTTAGTTAGGGTACTTTTCAGTTCTTTATTTTTTAGCTTAATTAAAGGGGAACCGCTCAATTCCTTGGATTGCACCAAGTGCTCATGGGTAATTAACTCCGCCTCTGTCCACTGAGTAAATGAATGCTTATCTTTCCCCTGTACCGCTAATCCCACAAAACAACAACTGATATAAACATCCTAAGAACGGATTACAATTTGCTTGTTTAAATATAACATGGCAATTGAATTTCAAACAAATACAGAGCAGTCTTCATGTGCCATGGTTTGAAACATCGCGCGCTTGGTAATTTATACATCGTCAGAAAAAAATGACGCAGAACTAATTCAAGTTGATGATGGCCAACAAGAAAAGGCGGCAGTCCACCGGATACACACGACCAGGTTTTTGCTAAACGGTCATGAAGAAAATACGTCGACTCAAGTTTATTTGTCTGTTTCCGTTCCGTTACAGTAAACCTGAAAACGAAACTTCCTATGCAGATTCTGTATACATACTACTGCTTCAGACTACTAATATAACAAGTGTGAAACACAAAGTCAATGACTTCGGTTTTCATATTTCCGTCACAAATCGGTAAACAGAACGTGTATTTACTATTGCCCTCAAATTACCATATAATATTGACTAATTGGTAGAGACGACAATGAAAAAGTTTACTGTTTAAGTACAGGTTATTATACGGAAATTCCCGTGATAAAATATCCAAATCATTAGTAAAGAAAAGTCGCTGCGACATCACGGGCTTATCTTGTAACCTGTTTACGACACTCGTGTGGAAAATCAAAATGTACTCGGGTGGTACCGGCTTGTATCTCGTGTGAGATTTGAGTTCTTGTGATCTGGTGGGTGAACGTCGGGTTGACTTTACAGTCAAAATCAAATGAGCGGTGAGGGGGAGAAGAGCGTTCTGTCAAAACAATTTTACCGTAGACTCAATTTTAACGACCAATCTGCAGCGTTGTATTTATTATAAATAAGAATCCAAAAATAGAATGCAAGGCATGAACGAAAACAATCTATTGTAAAAGATATGAATTGGAACTGCCTGTGACGTGTTCTCTGGGTGCCGTTTCATCCTACAGTCAAATACAGAAACAAAAACTGATTTATTTTCTTATGCCAAGACCTGGTTGTTCATGCATTTCAAGCATGGCGTATTTACTTTTTGTACTCTGTACTCTAACAGAACGGTTATTTCTTGCACGCCTACCAGTATTACGCAACTACCATTTGCAGCTCATTGCAGTCTGACACTTATTCACTGTACCCCTTCCTTTTTCCAGACTGTCTAGAAAGTTATACAAAAAGTTTCATCTCTTTGAAAACAAAAGTCTTTGCCGTACGATCAAAAGAAAAATGTCCACATAGTAGTAACCAACATCGTTCTGGCGTTCCTTAAAAAAAGTTTTTAAAAAACGAACACTGCATTGCTTAGTAGCAAATAATCACGGTAGCGCAATCCGACCATGCTACGTTTCACAGTTATTATTATTACTTGGTAGTGATTATTAATAAGGTACAAAAAGTAAACTCGCTGAATTGCGAATGATTTCTACTTGGATATCCGAATGTTATTGAAATTGTTTACTGTCTTACATCGTCATGTCCCAGTGATACCGATGGTTAGACCATGGAGGTGGTTAGACATAGACAACTACGTAACGATAATGCTGTTTGTAAACCAACAAGCTTTGTAGTTTGAATAAACATCTAGGGGATTTACATTTTCGTTTACTCAAACTGTGATTGACAGGAATTGTGCATACATTAGCCACCATTTTTAACTCGTGATTTTCACTGGTCGCGGCACGTTTCGACCAAAAAAAAAAACATTTATACATCAAAAGCCAAACCAGACGAATGTAGTCGCTAGCGTA